CAATAAAAAAACCGGATTTTAAAACTAAAATGTTAGCATGATCTTTTACAGTAGTCTTCTGTCAAAAGTTATTTGCGTTCTAATGTTTCAAAACGTTCCCCTGTAAAATGTATCTTTTTCAGTTTCGTAAGTTTACCATAGAGGTGACGATATATTCGACACAGTTTATGCAGAAAGTATGCAAGCAGGTTGTATGTGTATTTGGTAGGGTTATACGGCCGTATAACATTTTCTGTATTTAGCCACTAAGAATGTCATAAAATCAATTAAAAACAAAAAAGACAGAAAACCATAGAGAAAAGAACATTTGAATTTGGAACTTCTTTTTTTAAACGTACCCATCTGGAAGTTGAAACGCTAAAACCCATACACAATTTAGAACAATGGTTGTTTAAATTCTTTGAATATGCATGGGCTCTTGAATATTTCATGATTCGTTAGCGGGGATATTTTTACGTTTGGCCGATGAAAAGTGTCTTCAGATATTAGGGTTCCGTGTATTTATTTTGCATTTTATTTTAATGAAATTTAAAATGACGAAAGAAATCGTATAGACAGATAGATAGATAGATAGATACTCTTTATTATCAGTAATAATATTTTAAAAAAATCAACAATAAAAAGAAAAAATACCATTCTTTTTGCTGGTTTCTGGAGCCGTCTTAGCTGTTGCTATATATATATATATATATACATACATACATATATATATATTATACAACTTAAAATGGCAAACAAGCTGACGGCCAACCTAATGGAAAGTGGTAACCGTCGCCTATAGACATGAGCAGTGCCATGGACATAACAGAGTATACTATTTCGCCCATGATACCTCTCCTATGCGTTGCCATTCCTGAGGACTCAGGTGTTATTCCTCTGTACCCTGTAAATTCACGCCATATCCCACCCTTCAAACCGAAACACAGCCATGCAAACACAACTGCTTCACGGTAAAAACACGAATGGGACAGAGGTACCCAAGCAATCGACTTTTGTACAAAGTCTCCCTCTGGTGATCTAATAATTTGCCTGAAGATGAGAGGTGAAACACGAACTTCTGCTAGTAATAGTGGTGGTCAATCTTCGAGTGTTGGCAGTCGCCACATACTAACGGTAACGGAATTAAACTAAATAATTTTAAACAAATAACCAGTGATGTGGACACCCGCTATGCTCGGAGTCTCTTTGCGTGATAGAATCCGAAGCGAGGATATCCGCAAAAGAACCGAAGTAACCGGCGTAGCCCGAAGGATAAGCAAGCTGAAGTGGCAATGGGCTGGTCACATAGCCCGAAGAACCGACAACCGATGGGGAAGAAAGGTTCTTGAGTGGCGACCCCGTACGGGTAAACGCAGTGTAGGACGATCCCCCCACTAGATGGAGTGGCGACCTCAAATGCGTTGCAAGGGGTCAGTGGATGCAGGTGGCTCAGGACCGTTCTTTATGGCAGTCTACGGGGGAGGCTTATGTCCAGCAGGGGACGGATAATGGCTGAAAGATGATGATGATGGACTCTGGCAAGATAACACTTAGTTTAGTAAAGTTAGTACTTATTACCGTGTACGGAACCTTAATTTTTGCTTCCCACTCACGCTTGGCATTTACTTTCGGCTATGAATACTACTAAAGCAAAGTCGACATAAGCCGGCAACAAGTGCGACTCGAATTTACATTGCTGGGTTCCGTGTAATTTTTTTTATACACCATGAAGTTGGTATAAATGAGGAGGTAGCGAAAATGTGTCTATTGATAGATTCGTAGCTTTTCTTTTATTCTAACACAATACACTTATTCATTTCATAATCGGGTAAACATCGAATCCGCGACCTGTAAACTCTGAGCATTTGTTCTTTAATACTACTGTCTCAGTCTGCCTCATGCATGAGGTAGCGAAAACGTGCCTACTGATAGATTCGTAGCTTTTCCTTTTACTACAACACACAATACACTCATTTATTTCACACTCGGGTAAACATCGATTCCGTGACCTATAAACTTTAATCATCTGTTCCTTAATATATTATAATTGTCACAGTCTGCCTCATGCATGAGGTAGCGAAAACGTGCCTATTGATAGATTCGTAGCTTTTTTTACTCCAACATATAATACACTCATTTATTTTACAATCGGGTAAACAGCGATTCCGCGACCTGTAAAGTTTAAACATCTGTTCCTTAATATAACTCTCAGTCTGCCTCACGCATGAGGTAGCGAAAACGTGCCTACTGATATATTCGTAGCTTTTCCTTTTACTCCAACACACAATACACTCATTTATTTCACAGTCGGGTAAGTGTCGAGTCTGCGAGCCGCGAGCGGTCGCTGCATAATTTCCTAATTCAGCCCTAGAGGGATTACAGCCCAAGATTAACAAGAGGGGGCGTTATCTCGACTAATTTTAATTTAGATTATATAATAACCACCCGGTTTTATCTTCTTTTTTTATACAACTTAGAATGGCAAACAAGCTGACGGCCCACCTGATGGTAAGTGGTAACCGTCGCCTATAGACATGAGCAGTACCGTGGACATAACAGAGTATACTGTTTCGCCCATGATACCCCCCACGCGTTGCCATTCCTGAGGACTCGGGTGTTATTCCTCTGTACCCAGTAAATACACGCCATATTGAAGGGTGGGTCAAACCGAAACGCAGCCATTCAAACACAACTGCTTCACGGTTAAAACACGAATGGGACAGAGGTACACAAGCAATCGACTTTTGTACAAAGTCTCCCTCTGGTTTTCCTCTGATAATACCTACTTCATAGTCACGCTGATGTCTAGGCGTAATATTATTTTGCAGTTCACTAGACTAGACTAAAAGCCTGTCTGAAAGCTAATGCCTTCCAATGACAGGCTTTTAAGTAACCGTTTACGCTTGCCAATAATCTGAGAGAGAAATAAGTTTAAAGACAATTTAGTAGTTTATTTATTTAACACTTTATTGCAATATTTATAAAGTAGTAAATACAGTAAATATTAATGAGAAGTGATACAAAAGGCGGCCTTATCGGTAAGCAATCTCTTCCAGACAACCTTTGGGTAGAGGACATTGAGAAAAAGACAAAGGGTAGATGGCGCTCTAGTATATATAAAGTAATATATATTAATATATATAAATTGGGGGGAAAGGGAGTATAACTGACCTATTGCTAGCAATACACCCTGTCAGGTCGACCTCCACGCGGTTCCCCCTGGAAACCGTCGTGGTTAATTCTAGTGGAATTCGTCCCGTTCGGCTAACTGACCCGCTTTCGTTGTCACCTATCATCTTTCCCACCAGCGTATACCGATAGCGCAGGCGCGGTTACCGTTCCATTATCACCCATTAAAAATACATACAAACACACATACATACATATATATATATATACACATAAACAAGTAAACATGTGAGTCAATATACAAAGGTGAGTTTAACTGTAAAAGAGTTCTCTTCCAGCAACACCCATAGTGGGAAAGGAGCATCAACGTCAGCGGGTAGAGCGGTGAACAATATTGGGACAATTTACAAACAAAAGAGACCTAGACAAACATAAGTTCATACATTGAATAATCTTGAATAAGGATCCTGAGGAATTACTCGATTTATTTAATTAATTTTGTAATAAATAAAAAACGTTGTCCTGTTGTACAAATATTTTTAATGAGAGCTAACTTTTTCTGTTATTTGTGGTGACCATGGCAACGCGTGCGTTTCTCAGTTGCCAGTATTATTAGCTATTTATTTATCCGAATAATTGAACTAAACTAAGCTCTATATATATATATATATATACCATTATATAACATTTAGGTCCTGCTTAGGGTTAAGGAAAAAAGGCAAATTATTAGAACTATTGAGGACAGAAGGGGAAAAATGTTAGGACACTTGATACGACACGACGAACTTATGAACATTATAATAGAAGGTAAGATAGAAGGAAGGAGGGGGAGAGGGAGACCGAGACATAGTTACATCAGGCAGATCAAGGAAGGAGTTGGTGTCGTGTCGTATCAAGAGGTGAAGAGACTCGCTGCAAATCGTAGTGAGTGGCAAGAGATCCACCGACAAGAGCGCAGCTCTTAAATAGGATAGATAGATAGATAGATACCATGTTTGTATGTATACAATGGACATATAACAGTGGGATATTTAATATACATAACTAATTATATCATATTTAATAGTATATACGAGTATACACACATACATATTCCCGAGAGAATACAGCATGGGGTTCTTCAAAAGGGGGATAAAGAGGTTTCTTCAGGGTCGACAATGCACGCGTAATACCGCTGGTATTGCAGGCGTTCATTGGCTGCGGTAACCGCTTACCATCAGATGGGCCGTATGCTTGTTTGCCACCTCAGTGGTATAAAAAAATATATATATAAACACACATACATACATATATACATTGTTAAAATTGTAAATATTTCTACAAAAATGGATATAATAGTGTATTTTTTTTTATACAATTTAAATTGACAAACAAGCTCACGGTCCATGTGATGGAAAGTGGTAACCGTCGCCTATAGATAAGAACAACACCGTGGATGTCACAGGATATACTGTGGCACTTCATGCGTTGCCAGTCCTGAGGACTAGCGTATTTTTTTTAATGAGTGATAATGGAATGGTAATCCCGGGGCACCAGTGAGGGATGATAGGTGAGGATGAAGGCAGGTTAGCCCGTCGTGAAGAATTTAACAAGAATTAACCACGACGGTTTCCAAGGGGGACCGCGTGGAAGTCGACCTGATAGGGTATGTTGCTAGCAATGGGGCTGTTAGGACCCATTACTAACAATCCTCTTCCCCCCGGACACTGCCACATTCTTCACTTCAAACTGAAACATAGCAAGCGTAGCTGCTTCATGGCAGAAACACGGGTGGGACAGTAGTCCCCATGAAGATTACTTTTGTAAAGTCTCACTCTGGTCTTCTTAAAACTGGTTAAAAATTAATAATAAAAAAAACAACGACTTATAATTTATTTTACATTATTCAGTATATATATATTTTATTTATTTTAATATTGCGTCAGTTAATTAATAAAGCACAAGGCGCCCTCTATTGTCTACAATCCCAATCCTTTGCATCCATCCTATGAAACCTCTGTTCTGTTGTAAGTCCGCCTTCTTGCCTCCCACGCACTCCGCTAGAGGGCGCCGTTGCCAGACTGAAGCAGAAAAATTAAGCATTACTCGACTAATGACCTGCCCTGGCTTTGAACGGATGCAATTTATTAGAAAAAAATATTTTATCCGCAAAACAACCGAAATAACCGACATAGTCCGAAGGGTAAGCAAGCTGAAGTGGCAATGGGCTGGTCACATAGCTCGAAGAACCGACAATCGATGGGGAAGAAAGGTTCTTGAGTGGCGATCGCGTACGGGTAAACGCAGTGCAGTATGACTCCCCTTTAGATGGAGCAACGATCTGAAATGCGTTTTTTTTTCGATGGGTGAAAATGGTATTGTAACCCCGCCTGCACTAACGGTATACGCTGGCGGAGCACCAGTAAAGGGTGATAGATGAGAATGAAAACAGGCCAGTTAGCCCATCATGATGAATTCATCAGGAATTAACCATGATAGTTTTCAGGGGAACCGCGAAGAGGTCAATCTGGTTGGGTATATTGCTAGCAATGGGATTCTCAGTCTCCATTACTAACAATCCCTTTCCCCCTCTGAAATGCGTTGCAAGGAGTCAGCGGATGCAGGTGGCTCAGGACCGTTGTTTATGGCTGTCTATGCGGGAGTCTTATGTCCAGTGGACGAATAATGGCTGAAATGATGATGACGATGATTTAATTATAAACTTATGAATTTTAATTAGAATGGTATGGATTTCGCCCATTACTTCTTATAGCATTGGGCATAGATTTCAGAACAAAACTATTATAATAAATCGCTTCTTGTTCGCGTATCGAGATGAAATATATTTATTTATTTATTTACACTTTATTGCACCAAGTAAAAAGTGAAATAACAAATACAGTAAATATTAATGAGAAGTGATACAAAATGCGGCCTTGTCGCTAAGCAATCTCTTCCAGACATCCTTTGGTTAGAGGACATTGAGAAAAAGACAAAGAGTAGGTGGCGCACTATTATATAAATATTATCATATACAAACATACATACATACATACATACACATACATATATAATATATACACAATTAAATATAAACATAACATACACATACTTAACAGCACACATACAACAGAAAAAAAATGACGAAGGAAAACGAAGAGAGAACACAGGAAAATAGTGACTATAATATTATAATATACACCAGGTTTTAAGATAGATCTTCAGGAAAACAACTGTTAATACCGCATCCAATATTTTTTTTATACAACTTAGAATGGCAAACCCTGATGGAAAGTGGTAACCGTCGCCTATAGACATAAGCAGTACCATGGACATAACAGAGTATACTGTTCCGCTCATGATACCGCCCATGCGTTGCCATTCCTGAGCACTCAGATGTTATTCCTCTGTACCCTGTCAATTTACTGCCATATCCCACCATTTAAACCGAAACACAGCCATGCAAACACAACTGCTTCATGGTTGAAACACGAATGGGACAGAGGTGGACAAGCAAACGAGTTTTGTACAAAGTCTCCCTCTGGTATACAAGTACTTACCAAGTCTGTAAGCACACGAGTTGTAGTCCAATTTGCAGTGGTTAGCAAACACCTTCCTAAGCCCAGTGTTGGAGAGGGCGCACTCCGGGTTGTAGTCTTCAGGACAGGAGATGGGACATGCGTGCGAGCAGAAGTGGCCGTCGATGCCTTTATTTTGCGATCTGTGGTCATAACACTTTTTCAATAGACTTCAAAATGAAATTGTGCTCCAAAAACCAACTTTAAATGTAGTAAAACCAGTCATTTGGATTTTAAAACTAAATTACTGATCGGATTTTATCTTTTTTTATAATATTAATTTAGACTATCTTTTAATATATTTTTATTTATTTATTTATTTAACTCTACGAGTATATTGCACCAAAAAAAAACATATGCGTAAGCTTTAAAAGAGTAATGGGCGGTTATATTGTTGTATGTATTTAGAAGTGGTACAAGATTTTACCTTCTAGAAGAATAACTCCTTCTAGCACTGATGTCAGTCTTCTCCTTCTTCTCCACGGGTTCTTCGAACTTGTACACGTAAGGCTTGAAGGAGTAATGGGCGGCTATATTGTTACAAAACTCTTCGCGAACTTGTGTATATCCTAAAAATACGTAAAGAGAAACCATGATCCATACTGTGGATAAAGAGAATAAAACCATTGTGTCTGGTGAATGGATTATATATTTAAAAGACCGAACGATTGAAAAACGAAGAATTGGGAAATGGTTGCGTAAGTATGTATAAATGGGGGGAAAATAGATTGTTACTAATGGGGTGTAATTTCCCCATTACTAGCAACACACCCTATCAGGTCGACCTCCACGTGGTTCCCCCTGGAAACCATCGTGAACAATTCTTGTTGAATTCGTCACGATGGGCTAGCTGACCTGCTTCATCCTCACCAATCATCCCTCACTGGTGCCCCGCCGGTGTATACCGATAGTACAGGTGGGGTTACCGTTCCATTATCACGCATAAAAAAAAAAGTATGTATAAATGAGTTAGTGGTTGAGAGAGTAGCTGCGTGTTTGTAGGAATAAGTGATTGGTTCGGTAAATAACTGAATGAATTAATGAATGGTCAAACATGTGAGTGCATAATGAAGAGCGACTGAATATGTAAGTGAGCGAGTGGCAGAAAATGGCAAAAAAATGGTCAAGTGAGTAGTGTAGTGATCTTATCACACAAAATGAGGATTTAACAATATGTATTGTTTTGCACTGGCTCACTACTACATCCAGTGTCAAGCGCAGGGGCACATTCAACACTGCCGGTTAATGCCAGACTACTGGTTAACGGCTACCCCCTCTACTGGTGTACATGAGACAATGTATTATACTTACTGTATAGTTACAAACACTACAAGTAGAATGAATGAATATTTATTTACAAGAAACATGTTAACAATATGTATAAATCCATATATATTTCGCCATAATTAAACATGCAAAATTTAAAAACCTAAAAGGTATAAATTCTGATTGAATTAATCATTATTTAGTTTTTTTTTATGGGTGATAATGTAATGGTAACCCCACCCGCGCTATCGCTATACACCGGCGGGGCACCAGTGAAGGATGATAGGTGAGGATGAAGCAGGCCACTTAGCCCATCGTGACGAATTCAACGAGAATTGTTCATGATGGTTTCCAGAGGGAATCACGTGAAGGTCGACCTAATAGGGTATATTGGGGGGAAGGGATTGTTAGTAATGGGGGGGTTAGTCCCTATTGCTATCAATATACCTTACTAGGTCGACCTCCACGCGGTTCCCCCTGGAAACCATCACGACTAATTTATCATTGAATTCGTCACGATGGGCTAACTAACCTGCCTTTTCACCTTCACCAATCAACCCTCACTGGTGCCCTGTCAGTGTATATCGATAGCGCAGATGGGGTTACCATTCCATTATCATCCATAAAAAAATAGGGTATATTGCTAGCAATGGGGCTGTCAAACTTCATTGCTAACAATCCCTTTCCCCCCTATCAGTATTTAGTTGGGTGAACGAATGCTGAATGACTGACTTAGCCAACAAATGAATTAATGATTAGCTGAATTAATAAATGAGTGAGTGCATGAGTGGTGAATGAGCAAATGGTCCAGTGAGTGGGTGAACGAGTGGCAAGTGACTGAGTGAGCGACAGAATGAATGAATGAGCATTCGAATGAGTGACTGAGTAATAAATGAGTAAATCAGTAATTTTACCAGACGGAGACTTTGTACAAAAGTCGTTTGCTTGGCCACCTCTGTCCCATTCGTGTTTCAACCGTGAAGCAGTTGTGTTTGCACGGCTGTGTTTCGGTTTGAAGGGTGGGATATGGCAGTGAATTTACTGGGTACAGAGGAATAACCCCTGAGTCCTCAGGAATGGCAACGCATGGGGGGTATCATGGGGGAAACAGTATACTCTGTAATGTCCACGGTACTGCTCATGTCTATAGGCGACGGTTACCACTTTCCATCAGGGTTTGCCATTCTAAGTTGTATAAATAAAAAAAGTTACCAGGGGGAACCGCGAGGAGGTCGACCTGTTTGGGTATATTGCTAGCAATGGGATTCTCAGTCTCCATTACTAACAATTCCTTTCCCCCGGAGTCTTAGGAGTTTATTTATTTAAGGCAAACAAACAGCTAAAACGATACATAATTATATACTTAAATAGTAATTTGGTAGCCACTAGAATTTGCACAAAATAAAATACAAGTAAACGAAACGCAAAATTAGACAATACTAAATAAAACATATATAAACAAAATTAAACAAACAAACACTATTGAAAACTACAGCAACATTGTCAATAATAATGCTCGGAAGGTAATAAAACATTTAAAAAAAAACACACATTATATGAAAATAATACCTGTATAAACATTAAAAAAATTATAATAATTTAGAATAGAAAAAAAAAACAAATAAAAAAAAAATATTTATTATTTCCAACTTACTATTCTCAGCATATTTAAAATTGCAGTTGACTTTTCGAAAGTAGCATTCATTCAAAAACAATCTATATTTCCACTTCTTATGTTCTATTTTCCCGCCGCATAGTGATTTTATAGTGTTGTTACAGTCCAAATCGGTGCAGTCCAATGAAATCGGCTTCGTCCCTTTCCCACTCCTTCTTGTGTTGTTACGTCTATCTCGCTCCCTCAACTCGCTCTTTTCGATATTTTCATTATTTTTGCCAGATATAAAAAGAATATCTTTTGGACGTTCTGAAATAGGAGCAAGAATTTTTATCTAAGTAGTATATTACCTGCGGCTGCAAAGGTTTTTTTTTTGATGGTTGAAAATGGCATGTTAACCCCGCCTGCGCTAACGGTATACGCTGGCGGAGCACCAGTGAAGGGTGATAGGTGAGGATGAAAACAGGCCAGTTAGCCCATCATGATGAATTCATCAGGAATTAACCATGATAGTTTCCAGGGAGAACCGCGAGGAGGTCGACCTGTTTGGGTATATTGCTAGCAATAGGATTCTCAGTCTCCATTACTAACAATCCCTTTCCCCCTCCCGGCTGCAAAGGTTAGCTAGAAGAGATCGCTTTTTTCGATAAGGCCGCCCATTGTTTTCTCGCTGTGATCATTTCTTGTAATTGTTTATATTTATAATAAGTTTACTATTGTAATCTTATGGAGGAAACAATAAAGAGTGTCTATCTATATTAAGAATAGTACCAAGTAGTTTTTTTTTAATGGGTGATAATGGAATGGTAACCTCGCCTGCGCTATCGGTATACATCGACAGGGCACCAGTGAGGGATGACAGGTGAGGATGAAAGCAGGTCAGTTAGCCCACCGTGACGGATTCCACTAGAATTAACCATGATGGTTTCCAGGGGGAACCGCGTGGAGGTCGACCTGATAAGGTGTTATGATAGCAATGGGTCAGTTAAACCCCATTACTAACAATCTCTTTCAGTACCAAGTAGTAGGCCTATGTTCAGCAGCGAATAGTTTTTTTTTTAAATGGGTGCGGAATGGCATGGCACAGCCTGCTCTATCAGTATACACTGGCGAGGTATCAGTGAGAGGTAAAGATGGATAATGTTAAGGAATATCTATATACAGCTTCAACGAATATGCGAGGAGCAGCGGAACTTTGCGGGTGCTATGAAGGAAGCTGGCGTGATGATATTTTTTTTTATACAACTTTGAATGGCAAACAAGCTGACGGCCCACCTGATGGAAAGTGGTAACCGTCACCTATAGACATGAGCAGTACTGTGGACATAACAGAGTATACTGTTTCGCCCATGATACCCCCATGCGTTGCCATTCCTGAGGACTCAGGTGTTTCTCTGTACACGGTAAATTCACGCCATGGTGATATTTTAAATAAAATACAATGTGAACATTCACAGCACTGTTTCGTCTCCGATGTAGCGGGGTGAGGAATGGCTATTGTTGCCATATTAAATAAAATATAAATTTTGTTTCAGTATTGCAATATAAAAGGTTGCAACAATATGTAAAAAGTGTGTTATCCAAAAAATAATATTGGATGACAGACTTTTAGCATATTCGAAAATAGATATCCGACCGATGTGTAAATTGAAATCAGTATCATATAGAACAAAATAATTTTCTCAAACATGCTTGGAAATGTGAGCATTATTTTGACAATCTTCTTCGCGATAAATCAAAATTGCCGTATTGGCCAGATACATGCGGGCAGCGGCCGGCAAAAGTTGTATGAAAATCCATATCTGTCGTGTTTGCGGCCAGATAAATTACTATATAAACTCATATCTGTCCTGTAATTTAAAAATGGAATGATCTTTTACTGCGAAACATGGCTACCAAGGAGGTAACTAATAAAAGGGTTTGTTTAAATTTCGAACTGGCTTGCAAATAGAAAGCTATTTATTAAAAAAAACCAAGGAACATTATGGCACGTGAAAAATTATTATTGTTCGTTATTTGTCATTGAACTTAAAATGTAAAATTGTGTTTTTGATTTCCGCGCATTGTTTGAGAAAAGTACTATACAAGCCTTGACCGCAACTAGGCATTGATGGATTCACGTATGTGTGCCTCGGCTGCGCCTCGGCCCACATTTGCACATTCGTCCATCAATGCCTCAGTTACTGGCCGCTGCAGTAATGTACTATTAATAAGCGCGGGCGGGATCACTATTTTATTTTCTTTCATTAAAAAAAATCACTAGCAAAGAATAATGAAAACAAAATAATTAATTAAAAAATATATACCTGTCTCAACATTAATACCTTTGTCTCCTAACACATCACCGACAGTTTTCTTCATCACCACATCACCGATATTCATCACATTCGGATCTTTAAACTCCTCATCAATTCTGTGTACCTTTTTCTCATTGGGAACGAACAAGACGTCATCTGTTTCTGTATAATCAATCGTAGTAAGAAAAGATTTAGGTATCAAATTGTTTTTCTCTATGGTTATTGTCTTTGGTTTTGCCATATCTCTTGGAGATTCTACATTCGCTTCGGCGTGACCGGAATAGGTGATGATTACGTCGGAATTATTATTTGGCGTATGGCTTTCAGTTAGATAAAATATGTAATATAAAAATATGTAATTGAGAAACATCTTGTAGTTTGACGTTTACTTTTGGCGGGAAAATTGTGTCCTTTGACTTGTACTGAAAGTTTTTTTTTTTTAATAAATAAATGTAATCCGGCACAACACTGATTGAAGTCACTTTACTATTTCTAATTTGTTGATGGATTCGGAATGGATATGGGTGAAAAACGTACAAGAATTGTACGCCCCATTGTTCTGTTGTAACAATGGGACACATAACATCTGTTATTCTAGACTAAATGGTATTTTGACCGACATTAAAAAGATTGTTCTCAGTATGTACAATGGTATTTAAAAGTTTTCCCTAAAAATTAGATGGATTTTTGTAATTTTTTTATATGTAATAAATTAATTTCATAGTGGTTTTATATTATTTATCTAATAAATTTATTAAAATTTTAATAAAGTCTCAGATAAAAGCCAAGAGATTCCTAATTAAACTATATTTTTATTTAGTTTTTGTTTAAATATATTTTATGTAATAAATTTTTAAAATAATAATAATTTTAATAAAAGCCTAAGAGATTTCCTAATTAAACTATATTTTTATTTAGTTTTTGTTTAAATATATTTTACGCGATATTTACCAAAGAATAATATGTAATTTTAATATTGAATTAAAACAAACTTTGATAAAAAAATATTAATAGCGCCATCTCTTGTTACATGACTGTACTATATGAAAACTTTCTACAGAACTAACGTCACTCGTGAAATGGTTTTCCACAGTTTTCTCCAAGTACCAACTTGTCGTTCATATACTTTACCATAGATGGCGTTTAGTATTTTTTTTTTGTTTACATTCACAAATATTCTAGAAAAACTGGAATATATAAAAAGTCCCAAGTCATAATAATAATAAAATAATAGTAACTTAATCAAAAAATAATTTTTGCTTTTAGCCTACTATTAAGTTTACCACATGCAGGTCAGGCAAGTTTTTTGAAAAAAGAATGAATGGTAACCCCGCCTGCGTTATCGGTATACGGTAGGCACAAGGGGGGAAAGGGATTGTTAGTAATGGAGACTGAGAATCCCATTGCTAGCAATATACCCAACCAGGTCGACCTCCTCGTGGTTCCCCCTGAAACTATCATGGTTAATTCCTGATGAATTCATCATGATGGGCTAACTGGCCTGTTTTCATTCTCATCTATCACCCTTCACTGGTGCTCCGCCAGCGTATCCCGTTAGCGCAGGCGGGGTTACCATACCATTTTCACCCATCAAAAGGTAGGCACCAGTTAGGGAGGTAGGGGGGATGAAAGCAGGTCAGTTGGCTCATCTTGATGAATTCACCACAAGTTAATCGCTATAGTTTTTAAAAGGGAACCGTGGGAAGGTCGTCCTGAGACGGTTGCTTACCAATTGTTAGTAATGGCAACTCTAGTTGCTAATAATAAATTTTCTTGTGATATATCTTGGCAGGTCGACCTCCACGCGGTTCTCTCTGGAATCTGTAGCGATATTTCCGCGATGGACTAACCTTCATCCTCAGACCTCACCTATCATCCCTCACTGGTGCCCCGCCAATGTATACCGATAGCGTGGGTGGGGTTACCATGGGGGAAAGGGATTGTTAGTAATGGAAACTAAGGTCGACCTGGTTAGGTATATTGCTAGGTCGACCTCCCCGTGTTCCTCCCTGGAAACCATCGTGCTGAATTCCGTGTGCATCCATCACGATGGGCTACCTGATCTGCCTTTTCACTCTCACCTATCATCCCTCACTGATTCTCCGCCAGTGTACACCGTCAGCGCGGGTGGGGTTACCATTCCATAATCGACCACTAAAAAAAAAACAGGTGCATACAATTTTTTACCATCAGGCGAGCCGTATGCTGTTTTAAAAGGGAATGTTTGAAATATCCCACGTTGTATTTATGACTTGACTATACGAGTACAAGCCACAGGATCCGCCCGCGGGGTACATTTCGCTTAATTAGTAAACATGGACAGGCTAAAGTAAGGCGCACTGCGCGTTTCCATTGTTATCACCGACGAGAATATTGTGACACGTTCCGTTCCGACGTCTGATTAATTAATGATTGTATCGCACAAAAATGTGGGTTCAATTGTGACAAAATCAGTTATTTTAATCTAAAAAACTAAATTTGTGAATCGATTTTGAAAAAAAAAAAAAGGTTTACGGGACTAATCTACAAGTATATTCCTTTAGTTAAAAAAAAAAATTTTTTTTTCCAAATTGATTTACAATTGACGGATTAAAAATATAAAATAATATTTGGGGGGAAAAATAGGATTGTTATATTACACAAGGGAGACTGTGAATCCCATTGCTAGTATATCCAACCAGGTCTTGGTACAGATTGGGCCACTCCTTTTTTTCCCCCTGTGAGTGTCTATCATGGTTAATTCCTGATGAATTCATCACGATGGGCTAACTGGCCTGTTTTCATTCTCATCTATCACCCTTCACTGGTGCTCCGCCAGCGTATCCCGTTAGCGCAGGGTTACCATAAAATTAACCCACCAAAAAAAAATAAATTTTATTTTTTTTATGTGTAGAGGTCGCCAGTTCGGGGGAATGCCTAACCACATACTCATTTGTTGCATTTAAGAAGGTATCCGGCTGTAGTACCTTCCTAATGCTCCTCAAATAATTTTTTTTGGTGGGTGAATATGGTATGGTAACCCCACCTGCGCTAACGGGATACGCTGGCGGAGCACCAGTGAAGGGCGATAGATGAGAATGAAAACAGGCCAGTTAGCCCACCATGATGAATTCATCAGGAATTAACCATGATAGTTTCCAGGAGGAACCGCGAGGAGGTCGACCTGGTTGGGTGTATTGCTAGCAATGGGATTCTCAGTCTCCATTACTAACAATCCCTTTCCTAGACGCAATATTTGAGGAGTATGATGAAGGTAAATGAACGGCCGGATACTGCAACAAATGAGCATGTGGTCGGCCCCCGAACTGGCGACCTCTATCTACATAATTTGAAATGAATTCCCGTCGTACAGTGGACCCTTGCTCGCCCCGCGGGCTACACGGTCCGTAATGTAAGTACTTATTATGTGGCTAACAAGAAATACACGTACTGTCTTCTTGGTGTTTAGCTTCAAGACTTTATTAACGCGCCGGCTTTTTTTTATTTATTTATTAAGGCCATACCTTCCATTCTCTTATTCTCTCTGTTGTATATATATTTATATTTACAACACAGGGGGCAAACGAGCATGCGGCTCACCTGATGGTAAGTGACTACCGCCGCCCATGATCACCCACAACATTAACGGCATTGCAGGTGTGCTGCCGGCCTTTTAAGTTTTATGGGAAAAGACCATGCCCACAAGTGGGATATTAAATGACAGTGTAACAATAATAATGTACCTCTTTCCATAAAGTACTTGGAGCCCAGAAGTATGTGGGAGATGTGTTTTCGCTTCGTAAGTTTAAAAAAACGAAAGACAAATTTCGTTGTGGCGAATCGATATAAAACTCGATTCGAGATTTACCGCGTGTATTTTTCTTACGGCCGGCATCTGCCGACATATTATTTTTCTAACGCTACAAAAACAGACGTATTTGATACAGAACAAATGAAATAATATTGTTACAAGAATATACCACTATGTATTTTACCTGTGGTTAAAGAGAATGGTAATAAAAAACTGTTTTTTCAAAAGAATCTATTTGTTTTACTCGGTACTAGCTTGAACGGGGTATCTGCCGAGGTTTTCCCTAGAGACTACAGTATGGGTTTCTTCAAGCAGGCTTATAAAATGTTAAGGTGTCTTCAGGGTCGACAACGCGCACGTGACAATCCTAGCGTTGCGGGGAGAAAGGGATTGTTAGCAATAGAGGTTGACAGATCCATTGCTAGCAATACGCCTTATTAGGTCGACCTCCACGTGATTCCCCCTGGAAACCATCGTGGTTAATTCCTGATGAATTCATCATGATGGGCTAACTGGCCTGTTTTCATTCTCATCAATCACCCTTCACTGGTGTTCCGCCAGCGTATACCGTTAGCGCAGACGGGGTTACCATTCCAATATCACCCTTTAAAAAGAAATCCTAGTGTTGCAGGCGTCCATAGGCTACAGTGATTGTTTATTATCAGGCGGGCTGTATGTTTTATTGCCACTCTCGTGGTAAAAAATAATTAGGTGTTATGTTTTATCATCATCATATCAGGCTTTAACTGTCCACTGCTAAACTTAAGCCTCCCCTTGGGGGGTTTTGCCAGTAGTTGCCACGCTTGGCAGGCGGGTTGGCAACCGTAGGTAGGCTTTGGAAATGTTTTAAGAGGGACGCTGCTGCCAATCCCTCGCCCTTCTTTACGATAACCATGAAAAAGGAAGAGGGGGTGGAGGGGGGAGTTATTCAATGCCAGGACTACAAGGCGAATGGTCGTTGACAACTATTATTATTATAGGAAATTCTACAAACCTTCCATATCAGCCGTCAATCTCTGACTGCCATTCCGTCCACGCACGCTTTGCGACACGTGTCTCATCCTCTAGTATCATAGTGTAGTGTTAGCCATTCGGGCAATTTGGGCGCCGGAGTAAAGATGTCTCATGTGGAACTCCTGGTAGTGATAGTGGCGGTCAATCTTCTAGTGTTAGAAGTCATACACATACTAATAGTAGCGGATTTTTAATCCAACATAGAATGGCAAACAAGCTGACGGCCCACCTGATGGAAAGTGGTAACCGTCGCCTATACACATGAGCAGTACCATTGACATAACAGAGTATACTGTTTCGCCCATGATATCGTCCATGCGTTGCCATTCCTGAGGACTCAGGAGTTATTCCTCTGTACTGTTATTACTCTCACCCTTCAAACCGAAACACAGCCATGCAAACACAACTGCTTCCCGGTAGAAATACGAATAGGACAGAGGTGGCCAAGCAAACGACTTGTACAAAGTCTCCCTCTAGTGAAATCCGAATCTATTTATTTAATTCCTTTTTTTGTCAGGTTACCAGTGCAGCTGTTCCAGTAGTGCTTCCCAGCTCCACGAGCACCACAGCGAATCCTAAAGGTAAGTGGATTCCCTTCATCATGACCACTTCGATAGAATATGAAACCAGGCCCTCTGGACAAGTGGCAAGCGAATTCGTCGATGGATTCGACATGGTTAGCGAGTCCTTGAGTTGAAATGAGTCACCCGTCATTGATATATATATATATATATATATATATATATATATATATATATATATATATATATATATATATATATATATATATATATATATATATAATTTTATTATATTTTTACTATTACGTTAAAACCTTTATATAAAGAATTAATTATTACTAACATACACGTACATACATACGTATAAACGTGTATAAATACACACACAAACACATAAAAAGATATTTAAATACATATCTATTGACATATATACAAAAAATACAAAGTAATAAATATTTTTAGATCTCTGAAGAAATAATAATAATAGAAACTTTAAAATTATGAAAAAAATAATAAATAGAAATATTAGGTATTTTTTTTTTAAATTGGCGGCCATGTTTTGTTTGTACAATTATATATTATTATAAAATTTGGGAAGTTTACCTGAATTTTAGGCCAAGAATATGCGTTTCTTGGAACATCGTCGTTTTTGGTATTATGTAACTATTATACCTACATAGCTATTTCATTCTAATTCCTCTAAATATATAATACACAATCTTGAAATTTCTCTTATATTGAAATTAACTTTAATACAACACAGCTAAGGTCTACTATCACTTGCACAGAAAGTTCTGTAAAAGCCAAAGTAGGTTCGAATCAAAAGGTACTAAGTAGGAATTATGGAAGTTTGATATTGAACTATACGCTCTCAGTTTTAAGGTGCAATTTTATTTAGTATGAAATTTAAACAGTTTCAGAGTTAAGCGTTGTAGAGATAGTTAGTACAAAGTTCACCTGCACATAAAATAGGGATGCGATTTTGTCGATTATTTTATCGATTATTTTTAATCGAGTCCGAATAGGAGACTTCGTCTGTTTTGCCTGACTGCTAAAGACAGGAGGGTAATGTTATTACATTACTAGTTTTTTCCTCTGATTTCATTCGTTTGACTGAAATAAACTCAAGAAATTGCGCTTGCATGTCTGTGTTTCGGTTTGAAAGAAGATAAAGCTGTAACATTACTGGATTCCCATGAAAATGTAACACCATAAGAATAAGGACGATAGATTTTCTTTAAGAGTGATAATGCATGGCATGAACGTCCATACCATATCAGCTGTTAACCGCCCACTGTTGAACATAGGCCTTCCAATAAGGGAAATTTTGCCAATAGTTACCACGCTTGAAAATTGTTTTTTTTTTTTTTATTGAATGAAAATGGTATGGTAACCCCGCCTGCGCTAATGGGATACGCTGGCGGAGCATTAGTGAAGGGTGATTGATGAGGATGAAAACATGCCAGTTAGCCCATCATGATGAATTCATCAGGAATTAATCATGATAGTTTCCAGGGAGAACCGCGAGGAGGTCGACCTGGTTGGGTATATTGCTAACAATGGGATTAGTCTCCATTACTAACAACCCTTTCCCCCTCTGCAAATTGGGTTGGCACCCGCAGTAAGTAATAAACTCAAAAACTACTTCACCGATTGCAAAAATTCCTTCACCATTAGAAAGCTATTACTCAGGATGGAGTAACGTACGCTACATTTATTGCTAGAAAAGATTAGGGTTCCTTACTAAAACTTTAGTAACGTAACTCAAGGTGTACAAAAAAAAAATGCTATAAAATATATTTCTTCGCGTGCGCTGCGGAAACTATTGGTGATAGAACAAAAGTATGTTCTACAATATTGAAGAAAATATCAATAACTACAAAAAACTTCATGATACTATATGTCCAACTATTATCGTTATGTCACAATAATCACTTTTTAAAATGTCGTAAAAATGTCCACCCGTGCGAAGCCGGTACGGCTAGTTTTAAATAAAAATAAATAAATCCATCGACATGTTACCTAACGTTAGAGACCATCACTAAAGACAGAAAACGAGAAAATGGCGTCCGTCCAGTGTACGGCGCTTGTTTATATATTATTGTAAATTGTACAATTTACTCCCAATTACTTACTAACGTACAATTCTCGACATCACTCAGTGGTTTATTAGTGGAAATTAAATTGTCCGCTTTCGGGATGGCTTCTTGTTTTTTTTTACAATTGTATATTATTTTGTATAATATATTTGTATATAGGATTAATATATATATATATATATATATATTAATATATATATATATATATATATATATATATATATATATATATATATATATATATATATATATAATTTTTTTTATACAACTTAGAATGGCAAACAAGCTGACGGACCACCTGATGCAAAGTGATAACCGTCGCCTATACACATGAGCAGTAGCATGGACATAACAGAGTATACTGTTTCGCCCATGATACCCCCCATGCGTTGCCATTCCTGAAGACTCAAGTGTTATTTCTCTGTACCATGCACGCCATATTGAAGGGTGGATCAAACCGAAACACAGCCATGCAAACACAACTGCTTTACGGTTGAAACACGAATGTGACAGAGGTACCCAAGCAAAGGATTTTTGTACAAAGTCTCTCTCTGCTAAGATAGATAGATTTTAAGATTCTACTCGTATATTATATATAAATGTGATAGACGAAATATAATGCAGACAAGGCCGAGGAATATCGTATAGATAACAGTGTAGAGATTATAAGCTTGTCGAACACAGTACTGCCGACCCCTATTAACTATTTATTAGCGTGATAGTGCCGACAGAAGCCGGAAAGTGAATATTTAATCGTGCAATTAGTCTGAACTGCGGCCATCCACGCGCCTCCATCGATATGGTGTTGGCAGTGGGAGTTATTGTTAGTATTTGCGATTTACAGCTATGATTGCGTATAAATATGGATTTTACTAGCTGCGCCTAGTGGCTTTGTCTGCGTTTACTGAGTTAAAAATGTCTATTATTAGTTTAAAGTCCACTTCGTCGTACGCGTGGATTTCAGATGTAGAATAAACAATTAAATAGCTAGATTTTAAGATAGATTTACAGAAACGCAGCTGTGATAACCGCATCTAATTTGGTGCAGTAATTTTTTCATGATGCCTGAACAAACATTGTCGAATTATAATTGTATTACATTAGATAAGATGCAACTGTGTTGCCTTATATTTCGATTGCCATTTATTTATTTATTTTACACTTTATTGCACCAAGTAAATAATAATAAAAGAAGTAATACAAAAGGCTGCCTTATCGCTAAGCAATCTCTTCCAGACAACCTTTGGGTAGAGGACGTTGAGAAAAAGACAAAGGGCAGGTGGAGCACTATTGTATAAATGTTATCATATACAAACATACACATATATACATATACACACATGCATACACATAATTATACATACATATATTATATATACACAATGAAAATATACATAAACATACACATACTTAATAGCACACATACAAGATATTTAGTATGTGTTAGGTACAATTTATCGATATATTTTTTATTACAGTGTTTTGTCAGTAAATTGCATTAGGTTTATTTCCTTTGTCTCTTCTCTATCGATTCTCAATTCGGTAATAATTTTTGAAGTTTGCTACCACATAATTACGTCATTTGTAAGCCGATTTAGAATTTTTTTTAAGGGTATAAGGCTCCCAATTTGAAAATATAGGATATATTTTCAAATTGGGAGCGAAAGCCCGTAGAAATTTTATTAAAATTGGTTTTGGTACAATGGAAGAACACTGTTTTTATTTCTTGTGGTATGTTCCACAAAAAATAAAAACATTTATAGCATATTTTGCTTATAAAACACACACACATACACACACGCACGCACAGTATCATAAGAGTGAAAACCAGTTTAGAATTGACGACGGAATAGAATAATGTAGTCGCAAAAAAAATCAAACTAATCGAGAACTGCCTTCCTTGGGAGTTCCTTAGGTACCTAAATATAAAACTTGCCACAAATTTTATTAACTCAAACTCTTTTATATTTTGTATTTTTACATTTTCCGTTCTATTTTTTGTTTAACCTACTTTAAAAAGATGGCGGTTCTCAAGTAGATTGTATTTTTTTATATAACTTAGAAGGTCAAACAAGCTGACGGCCCACCTGACGGAAAGTGGTAACCGTCGCCTATACACATGAGCAGTGCCAGCCTTAGCCTTTCCTCCACCCCCCATGTGATGCCATTCCTGAGGACTCAGGTGTTATTCCTCTGTACCCTGTAAATTCACTGCCATATCCCACCCTTCAAACTGAAACACAGCCATGCAGACACGACTGCTTCACGGTAGAAACACGAATAGGACAGAGGTGCTCAAGCAAACGACTTTTGTACAAAGTCTCCCTCTGGTATGTTTTTACGTTTACTACCTCATAACTCTCTTAGTTTTAAACCGATTTTCAAAATTCCTTTTTATGTGAAACGATATACTTCTGGACGAGTCCTCCGCCGTGCGTTTTTCAAGGCACTTTCTTCCGCGCACAACCACTCTTTGGAATCAACTTCCAGCAGCAGTATTTCCGAACCGATACGACAACATAACCTACAAGAAAAGAGCATATTCCTTTTTAAAAGGCCGGCAGCACACCTGCAATGCCTTTAGTGTTGTGGGTGACCATGGGCGGCGGTAGTCACTTACCATCAGGTGAGCCGCATGCTCGTTTGCACCCTGTGTTGTAATAAAAAACTTACTTATATACTCAGTCTCATGGAAATTTTATCAAAATCGTTATGGTAGTTTAGTTCTTAGGTCAAAATAACTGTTTTTTTTTTTCGCAATTGAAGTTGTTTTTTTTTAACATTTACCTACATGCTCTTTTAGGTAAAAAAAATCCATATTGGTTTACAACTGACGGAGTTATGAGGTGACAAACATAAAAAAAAACACAACCGAATCGAGAATCTCTTTTTTTTAAGTCGGTTGGAAACAGGCTTCTTACATATTTAAATTTGGAATTTAAATAAAAAAATACACCAAAA